CTAACCGGGGCGATCTGGCGGCGTTCTTGATACATGGGCATAACGATGAGGAACGGATATCATCGAGAGGATAGTGAGTGGATAGTCTCCCTCGGCAGAGTCCCAGCATCGTCAGCCTCCAGGCTTCCTCATACTCCGAACCTTTACAAGCGGTCCTAGAAGCCATAAATTGAATTTGTATCTTTCATGTGCTAGTTATTGGGCTCTTGAGCGTGTGATGATAGAGATTAAGTTCCATGCTCTGTCTACTGTCATCAGAGTTTCCCTACTCCCACCCTTATAGCCTGACACCTGGATGGCTTTAGTCAGATCGACGTCGTTGTCAACTTGACACTCGCGCAGGCAACTCCATACAGAACGATAGGCAGGTCTTGAGGTTAGTTAACCATTGAGATGCGAATTGAGTAGCCTCCGTACACGTAGTTGGCGAGGGATGAACAACGGTCTTCGCATATGCCTACGAGCCCCTTTCACTCCGGTCTATCTGGAAAGGCAACTTTGGTGAACAGCTATCTGTCCGCTAAATACTAACAGAACTGCCTGGAACATCTACACAGCTGGTCAATGTCCGAGGATCTCTGTGCTAGGCCAGTAGTCATTTCACCGTCACCTTGGACATAGGGGTGGGTGTCAGTACGGGAAGTTCAACGCAGAAGTCAGATCAATTCCCGTTCGTGGTATCAAAGTTGGCCGCTTCGTCCAAACGACTGTGTAGGCTGGTCTCCAAGCTTGATTTACAGCCGTGTTGAGAGAGCTCCAGTGCTCGAAGTCGTAAAGAGTTGAACGGGAGTCTTCGAAGATCCGCAACTTTGGCTTTGACTTGGACAGAGAGTGACAGTTAGCTGTCATCGAACACACCGCCAGAGCAACTCAATTGCCCAAGGCACTCAAAGAGATCTAGTAGTCATTGCGATGGTGATGTTCAAATTGGATTTGGAAACTTGACCAAGCACTACGTTGCCCTCGGGCGACCACTGCCGCAGGTAGTGGCCTCTGAGATATCTGGATACTGGATCGGGAGGCGGCATTCATAGCATAGATTTATCTTTCCTACCGTTTGCATACCTTCTAGAAGTCTAAGTCACATGATACATTCCCTAGCTTACTGGACAGACCGCAATCGAGTTTCTCGCGCTTCTATCTCTAGCCCGCGACTTGTCGTCAGCTGATCACCACCACGGGTGAGCGTCCTCAGCCCAGACCTAGGTCATAACAGCCTGATCTGTGACACTTCTTCATGTACTAAGATTGCCTATTTAGAGAGCATGACCACATCGTCACGTCTATATTCTAAACCAACCATCGACCATGCCAGGGAAGTCAACGTGCCTTGTGCAGTGCTGAAGCTGAACACAACGTCGGGGCCTCTCCCCTCTACAGTACGTCCGTGGCTATGGGATTGACACCTGCCATCATGACTGATTGTTGAAGAAGTCGTCAAGGAAAGGAGAAAGTAGTCGGGAAGAGGCTGAAGATGGAGGACTAGTGATTGTCAGCTTCATCTCCCTAGGCATCTGGAAGTCTCCCTTCTTCGCCTAGTATTCAACAAGGTATACGTATTAAAGGGATCTAGGGAGTGTGAAGCAACTTCTCATGCGCCTGCCTAGGGAGTGCCAAGAAGCCACTCATCGATCTCACAAAGGCAGACACTAGAGCTCCGCCTCCCAGGCACTTGCAGACAGACGCGGTAGGCTTTCAGCCGCACATCGATCAACAGTTGGCGACTTCTGTTCGAGTCGAAAGAAGCATTTAGCAGACAAAGCGCTGGAACCAAAGAAATCAAAGCGGCCCCGAGTCGAGTCCTGGCTGCTGCAGAGAAGATACTCCCACGAGATGAACTGCCGCTGCGTCAGCAACCCTTCGAAACTGGAACTAATGGTATACAGCGAGGGACTCTGGGTTCAAGAAATTCTTTAGGGCTTCAACCAGCACAATCGGCATCTCGGCCGAATACGTTGCTTCGATGTTGACTACTACCGCAACATGGCTGGGCTGAGTATAAACACCACTGCTTCGAAGACGTGGTTTCTGCCACATGTTCGAAACAGACTCTCTGCGTTTGTCATTCGTCAGGACTTGTAGGTTCTACCATCTGGCCGCGACGGCTTCTTTAAGCAAGAGTACTTCGATCACAGACTGATCACATCTCGTCTTTCAACTCCAAAGGCCCAGATCAAGGTTCATATTCAAGTTGGGCCATATCTACAAGGGCAAGTCTACAGAAGTGCTCCAGGTTGTTCGATATGGGACATGCTCGAACTCAGCACCCGTGACACAAAGAGCCGCAGCAACGCGTATTAAATGTGACAGAGGCATCCCTTCAAAGACTTCATGGTTAACATCTAGAGACTACAGCTTTGAAAGAACCAGCAACAAGTCGAGCAATCCATACAGTCACATGTTGACTCTGGGCAAGCCAGGAAATTAGACATCGAAGCTCTCCTGTTGTCTTCTCCATCTTCCTCGACCCAAAAGGCAACCCAGGCACCGACTGCTTCTAAGCCATCAATATCACACATGAGTATGCAAGCATGTCTTCTTTCCAGACTGTCTTACACCAACGCAGCTCGACTCAATTCATCGCAGACAAGTCAGAGTTCCACCATGACGTGAAGTCCACCATGAAACTCTCTAATCCCACCTTGAGCTGGTTTATTCCGACGAAGTGTCTGTATCGACGAGCAAACAATGTATCTCGATCGGCACCGCTCGATCCGTCACCTTTCACATACTTCGCGTCGAGTTCCCCAAAAAGCAAAGTCCAAAAATCGACAAACCTTCACCATACCAGTCCGGCTATTGCAACATGAACAAAAGATCCCATTCGAGTCAGCACATCATCAGTCCATCCGAGTCATCCCTCTCGTTTCCATCTCACAACTCCCGCAAGGATCCAACTCTGCTGCTCGAGGTCTAGACCAGGTCTAGGATCTTTCTTTTTCGCCTTCCGCCCCCTTTCTAAAAGAAGAAAGTCAAAATACTCCGAGGACAAACTTCTGCCATCCGATCCAAAAAAGCTAACATGACCCTTCTTTTTGCAATATCCAAACCAACAGTTTCAGGGACGAACTAGCCTGGTCTTTTTTGATAAACCCCAACTATCCCAAAACTCAATGACCCATTGACCCCCATCCAGCCTATATGAACACCCTCTGATCTTCTCATCAAACCTAAACGCCCGTCGATATTCTTATTCCGTTAGCCACACTTCATCAATCAAAGCCCCCGAGTCCAATCCCAACCGTCATCAAAAAATGCTCCGAAAACCCACATCGTCGACCGTTGACCCAAAGAAAGTCTTCAAGACATTAATAACTCTCAAACATATCCCCCTTTTTTCTTCTCGCCAAAAGACGAATCCACGTTCCACACCCCCGGTATCACTCTTACACGCCAACATCCGCCCCTCCTCCAACATCGTGGGCTCCACATCCCGTCGATGAGCGTAACCACAGCAGGCCATCGAACCGAGCATCACCCCAAAAAAAATCCTCAACCCATGATCCCAGCCATAGTCCGCTTCCCTAACCTCCCCATGATCCCTCATCCCCGCTAGACTCGTTGCCGATGGGGGAGTAGAGAACTCCATCTACATAAGACTCCGTTTAATCTCCCCTACTCGTCGTCGTCGCTCAAACGAAACACGCCAACGCGTCAACTTACGTAGGCAAACTTGCCCGTTGGATTGTGTGTTGCCGCACCCTCAGACATTGTGCACTCTTGGCCTCATTGTCCGCTGATGCCCTCGAGACGTGTTGCTGAGACAATTGGACATGAAAATCAAACCCGGTCGGCCGCCGGGCCATACGCCGGATTTCGATCGGAAGCTATTCCCATCAGGATAACGGCCGAAGGTGCCATGACCGCGATATCTTAGCGAAACCACACTCTAGGTATACAGCACCCGGCAGCAACATTCGTCTACACCAGCCGCGCGGCCAGAGATGCTTCAGAAGAAAATCCACAATGTGCAAACACAAAACTGTAGCTTGCCACAATACTCTCAGTGCTAGAACCACGAGGATGAGGCTGGGAGCAGTACTCTCTGCCACAAAGTCAGACACGCGAGCAGACATACCCATGGGCCCATCCATAACGGCGAAGAGGACACAATGCCCTCAAGGTCGCAATCTACATGCTTCACCAACGATCCCACAGCCTTTCCCACTGAGCCCACCGCGATCATACCACATCATCTTGGGGGGAAGTGATGGAAAACCCTCCGGTTCCGCCGTCCCGGTCCTTGTTTTTGGGAAGCCCGCCGCCCACAGAGTTGGACCGCGAGTTCATCTGTATAGACACCCATGAACCATGGCATCTCATCTCCCACAGGGCCACAAGTACACAGCAGACCCAAACATGCTATGCGACAGCTCATCTCCTCCGCATCTCGTCAATATCGCTCGGCAACGGCATTTGGGATGTCAGAAAACCTTGGCGTATCCGGCTATCAACATAAGGTAGGAAAACGCAAGATTAAGCGCACCGAATACATTGATCGCCCGAGTCTATTCCTCCCTAATGTCCCCCTCTGTTGCCTCGAATGCGGGTCCCAACGCTACGGATCAATGTCGACATCTCCAAAGGAAAAGCTAGATAAAATGTAAAGACAGACAGATACGCGAACTTTTGGTGAGTATCCAAATAATGTCTGCAGTAGCATTGCTGAGCCACCTCGGCTTGCTCATTTCACATGCGCGTTTCCTCGAGCTACGCCATTATGTCACAAAGCATGGGAACTCCCAGACGGCGAGGACGAGGATAGACGGGTGTGTATCGATCCGGGCAGAAACTCATCTCTATCTCGGACCACGTCCCTCTAGCATCTTGCAAACTAAAAATGAAAACGTACCAAAGAGCCATGCGTTCAACGGCCTCCCACGCGAGCTCATGGAGCACCGTGATCCACCATCCCCATCTTCGATCCTCAACTATCAGACATCATGTCACGTCTTGCCAGCCGAGTTCTCTAAAGGCCCAACGCACGGGAAACCTCGTCCATGATCTCCACTTTGGAACGACTGCGCACCCCCCAGCTCCATGCAGCGGGCTCTTCTCCTCCTCGAGCATCAACCAGAAGTCCGCCGAGACCACTCGAGTCAAAACACCAGGGAGAGACACAAGATTACCCGGCGAAGAGCAGACTGCACTCTGCTAAGCATACTTCCAACAAGGACGGAACTCCCTATCGCAAACCCCAAGAAAAGCTGTCCACCGTTCCCACAGTTTCCCAAATACCCACACAAGCTCCCCGTTGCTCCACAACGTATCCCCATACCGGTGAACATGCCCCCTAGCCGACATCTCACACGCATACACATCCACATGGAGTACAGCATCCCACTCCGTCTCTGCGTCTTCTTACCTCCGAGCCTTCTCCAGTCTATCCATCTCTCGGCCGTTGGGGCGTGACGGATCTGGGTCTCTGTCTCTCTCTTACAATGTCCAACCTAGATGGCGCCATCAACCGCCTGATCGTCTAACGCGTGCCTCGCCTCTCTGCTTGTCATGTTCTCCCCGTTCTGATCTCACGCCTGTCTGACTCGAAAGGGATACACACGCCACAAGAGACACAAGGTTGATCCCCAGACAGACAAGTCTAATACGCGCGTAACGGCTGGCTCACATCATCAAAATTCGCAAATCCTAGTGCCACCCGCTGATCCTCCTCAGAGATCTCACATGCCCGTAGGCAGACAAACGGAACCTGATATCTGAAATCCAAAAGTCTCACTCACATGAGCCCCCAAACCAAAAAGAACAGACAACCACACACACCCATCAAGCATCTGCAGGCATCTACAAGCATCAGATATCAAGCCCGCCTTCTCGTCGTCCTTCCCCAGGATGCTCGGCAAACATCCGGGATGGCAATATCCTTCCCCAGTCATTGTCGTCAAGACTATCATCATCATCCCACAAACTCCTCCGCGCAGAGAGCACACACACACACCCTCCTCAACCCTAGACAAATCCAGGTAAGGTAACCCACGCTGCCAAAAACAAACATTACTACCATTCCCAATGAGGCAGCACTTGGATATCAAAAAAAGCTCAAAGCTCAACCCACGCATCCACGCAACGCGGGACGATAGTCTCACATACATCAGTGACATTCGTGACCTTCAAGATACTTCTACTTCGTCCACACTAATTGACATCACGATACATTCGCGATACATCCCCCTCCAGCTTCTACTAGAACCGCGCCCCCTCCAAGCTCCGCCAACAACTTCCGAGCTCCGAGCGACTCTCAATATTCCTTCTACTACCTCAACCCGCATAGTTCTGACATTCCCTTGACCTCACCTCACATGGACCTGACCTCGATCACTCCTTTGCCGGGAGGAGCAAAGGCAGCCATATCCTGTCCCTGTACATCGCCCAAGAGCCGGCCGGCAGCACGCCCACGGCTCAGAAACGGAACCACCAAAACTTCCTCCCAAGGCCCTGCTCTGTCCTCTGCATCTGTACCCGTACCACCGAAGCGTCGCCGCCCTTGTTCCCACGTGAATCCCGGCTACGAAGCATCTATAGAACACCTGGCTATCCGTGCTGCAAGCCCATGAGCAACAGACGGGGGAGGACAATGCTCCTGCATTGCAAAACCTGCCGGCGAGGTGAAGCAGCAGCGGCGGCGCGGACGAGGTGCGGTCAACGGACGAGGGTCCGGAAAGACAGAAATTCACACAATCCATATGCCGAGCCAGACAGAGCTCAGAGAGCGGCGGACCCCCCAGCCTCTCTTCCCACCCATGTCATCAAACCCCTGTCCAACCGTCCAAAAAAAACTCCATGCCAGCGGTCCCAAAGGGGCCCCCAGACGGCCCCGACGCCCCCCAAGGTGAGCAGTCAGGTGTAACCCTCTCACCGACATATCCCTCACCCCAGACCTGTCGTCCAACGTCGACTCATATCGAAGGCTTACTGCGTACCGTCCTCCTACCTCCCATCGCCCGCCGCCGCCCAAAAAGGTATCAGACTGCCTCGATTAGACGTGTCTACGCGCCGTTCCTCGGCACGTCTTCCCAAACGGCTGCCTTTTCGATACCCCCAGAACGTCCCCATTGGCACCATGCCTCTTTCACCAAAGGCACCCACGCACCATCACCCCCCTGCTCGATAACGGCGCTGTGTAACCGTTGCTACACCACAAAAGCTGACGAAAGCACTAGGGAAACCGTTCGCTAAAGAAGGACCAGCCCGCAGAACCCTCGTTGCCAACAGTGCCCCTTGCTCATGACCCCCCGGCCTGCATCTACCCTCCATCACGAACTCTGCAAACTGGTCGTCTTTCGTGCTTTGCCCTCACCAAAAGGCCACGGATCGCGGCCACTGTCCGGGCTGCCTCCCCTTCTCTCTCATCAGATGATTCTTGCGTATCCGTACTCGTTATCTTCCCGTTGTCATTGTCCGTGCCTTCCTGCGACCTACCGTCATATTCCCGGCCGTGTAATTAGGCAGCTCACCACGCGGTACGTGTCGTTGAAGAAGAGCAGCACTAGCACTAAACAGAGGGAGGGGAGGGAAAGGGAGGGATGCTCCGCGCTCCGCACCACTGGTGCCTCGATGCAACTCTCACATCAGATGTGAGGCTCTGCATGAGTAGGAATGCAGTGCATATCCTGCCCTGCTGCTGCTGCTCCGCTCCCGAAGGGAACTCGCAATGAATGTTGTTCGGCAGGATCCATCCCGCTCCTTTTATCCTGCCAATGACATGCTCACGTGAACAAATGGCCATCCGTCGTCGCCAGGGGAGGGTATTTTGGCCGATGAGGTGGCTGGGGGCGAAAAGCAGCAAGTTTCCCAAAGACGACAACTCCAAAAGAAGAGATAGGGGCACCAACATCCAGGCGGTCGGTGTCGATCGAGACCACCGCGCGATCCCGGTACCCGATGTACATGGCCCCTGAGAGGGGGAAACCCCCGATGTCGAGCAGGAGAGTCCCGCAGCCCATATCGCGCAGTCTTTTCGGGACGCAAGGTCAAAAGGTTCTCTATCCCCGGCCAGCTGTTATTGTCCGCTGCCCTTGCGATCCGCTCAGCCCACACTTTGGTGGCTGGTCAAGAATAAAATGGCCCGCGAAATGGTCCGCCATGGGCGATCGCAGTCGTGTAACGATCAAACGGCCTTTTCAGCAGTGTGATGCAACGCTGCCAACGGCAAATGGTACGAAAAATCCGTCTTCTCTCTGTTATTGACCTGGCGTCGGACGAGTGTCAGATCCGACCTGTCTCAAAAACAAGACGCAAAAGCAACAACCTCGAACCAGAGACAAAAAGAAAACAAAGCGACGGGTCAGCTCTCACCCGTTTCGTGACGTGGCAGTCCGCACCCTGACGCCTTCTTGATGAATCCACGAGCATCATCAGCAGGCTGTCTCGACAGGTACTGCTACTCGAGCATGCCAGATGCAGACCGCCGCAGATTTCCCCCATGCGTCGCTGCCTGCTCACCCGACTCTCACTCACCTGGGTCAGGATGAGATGATCACAAAGGAAAAGCTGCATAGTTGGTTCCATCTTTTGATGACCCCAAGGTGTTGAAGACACAGAATCAGCCATATGACAACTCATAAACACCATCCACGGGGAGGGGGCCAAAATTCCCCCATCCGTGCTGACATGCGTGAGGCGGACAAGATGCGATTATGCTGTGTAGCTGGATCAGCCAATTCGCTTCCGAAGAGGCCTGGAGTCCCTGCTTTCCCGGCTTGAGCCACCTAGACTTCTAGGCTGAAGTGAAGGCATCCTCAGGTGACACTGGCCCAGGAGTGATATCGCATCGAGGCCACTTTCGTCAACACGAGACGCGGGTGCCATGCGGGTTTGTGGCCCCAAGGAGCGGTGGTCTTGGAGCTGACAGCTCAGGTCGTACAAGTATGGAGGAAAAGCAAACGCGTGATTCGGTGAAGAGTGCGGATTGTCGTCCGCCTCACCGACGTGCACTGAAACCTGACCCCCGGTCTTTGGTTAGCAACAGGCGGCCAGGGCAATAGCGCCAGCTAGAACAAGATCATTAGCGTAATCAGCAGAAACGGATCCCGTGACGCTGGAGTACATCTGCAGGCTGCACGAGGTGAAGAAAGCAGTAAGGCGGAGGATTGTCAGACATGGTGGGAGGGGGACGTCGGTGAGCCGGCGGCGTAAGAGAGGCGTAGCAAAACAACTTTTCGCTACAGATGCCCGCCGTGCTGGGTGGCTTGTCGCTGCAGACAACGGCGCAAGGTGCTAGGCATTCAAATGCAAGCAGCCGTTGCATCGTAGAAACGACACCTGAGCCACCGTGAGACGCGGTCCGCAGCGTACCAGGCAATAAGTCGTGACCATCAGCGACCGCATCGGGACAGCTGCACATTCCAAGACTGACCGGCGTAGCAACGTGTCTCTGAAGCCCCTCAGGCTTACTACGGCACCTCCTCTTCTCGTTTGCGAACGTCCGCTCTGTCGAGAGAAGGAAACAAAAATGACATGTCGCAAAGCTCCAAACGGCACCTTGGCCGCCAGCGAAGCAACGTTGAGGAGGGGCCGGCCCGGGTAGGGTGTGAGTGCTGCGAGCCGACTACCGATCTCCGTATATGGACGCCGGAGACCCTGGCTTGAGTTGCCTGATCCGGAGACTCGTGCGGCATGGAAGATGGATTGTGGGCGGAGGGGTGCGCCTTGTGGTTGGAACGGACTCTACCGGATTCAGGGGCCCGGTCAATGTAGGCTGGCTGCTGTACCGTGGCCACTGACCTTTTGATTCGGCGGTCGGTGTTATCTTGCTGTGAGAGGCGCGACGGCGGCAGGTATTGACTTTGAGGTGCACATAGTAGCAGTCGTGGCGGGAGAGTCCGTCAGAGCTTAGCTAGGCTGGTGGTGTAGTCGGGAGGCGTGCACGTGAGGCCATCGTGAAGTCCCACTCGGCGCCACGGCACGGCGGCGGCCGGCAGCTCCGTCTTCCCCGGCCGTCTACGGTCCAGGCCGGCGCCCCGTTGCAAACGATAATTCGTTCGGCGGAACCACATTGGAGGAACGAGGATGGCGTCAAAGCATATGCCGTTCACTGGGTCTTCTGGTGTCCTGTCCTCACGAGGTGGGCTGCAAAGGGCGGACGCCACAGAGTCGTGGACTGGGAGCAGTCGGCTGCTTGCAGCCAGTTTCCCCATGGTCCGCGGAGGAACAAGTGCACCCTGCAATCTGTCAGCGTCGTCTTGGGCCGCCTCGTCCCGCAATCGCAGACTGAAGCCGGCGTTTGAGACGTGGTTGACTCTGGAGTCGGATCGTACGGTTTCCTGTATTGCGATCACCTCCACAGCAAGGGTTCGCTCTGTCCGAGATGAGTGCTCGGAGAAGCTCAACGGTAGCAGAAGGCAATGTACACCACGCACGCACAGGTGTCCATCCATGCCTTTAGAACGGCCATGCCATCCCATACTGCCCTCCGTCAATCTTGCCATGTTGCGCTGGGACATGCGGGGAAACGGACTACGCTGCCCGATATATCCAGACAGCCAGGATCGGCCAGCCACAACACAACGGCACGGAGTTTTGAAAGCTCGCTTCCGCATCGTGGCATATCAGATTCAGGGGCCCAATGTAAACGTGTCTATATCAGCAAATGGCCCCTTCAAAGCCCTCAAGGTAGGGCGAGAGCAATGGACCACGACAAGCATGGAAAGTACCCATGATCCATCGTGAATCCGCAGCAGTGCGACGAATAAGTGAGCCAAACTAAACTCGGAACACGCCTGCCTGGCCGACCCGTGGAGCACTGGAGCTTTCGACCAAAGGTTTGATTGACGAGAGTTTACTGAGCACACAACGCTTATCCTAGAGGATTGACTCGCTCGGCCGTGCCCGAATACACCCCCCCGGGCGACTTCGTCTGAAGGTAGGGCCGCCGCTTATCGTTAGCGGGCAGCAAGGCACCGCACGTCGTAGGAATTAGTACCAATTTCCAAGAGAGGTGGATGTGTGCGACAATTTTACCTTTGCCTGGCGTCAGCATGTAGGTACTCTGACAGACAGGTGCAGTCTCATGTGAGAAAGATTAGATGCGGGACGATGATACAGCCAACAAAGCTGCTTAGGTCAGAATCGCTGTGCCGCGTGGATGGCAACATGATCTACCGGCGACGACGACGAAGCTGGAGGAAACTCAGATTCGACCCCCAAATCTCAAGTGTATCTGGACGCAGTGGGAAGCCATCGCACAAGAATAGCAACAGCTGCTCCGCAGTCAGCTCCGCATCGCGCCCTGGTTGTACCTTATCCAACGCAGTGGCTCCTTGGTGATATTGCCCAGGGCCAAGCGCAAGCAGCACCCGGGCTCGTGCCATTCGGGTCAAGCCCTGTCTCGTGGGCTGCGGTCCTCTGTCAGCAAAGGCTGCCCCGTGCCATCCCGGATGCATAGTCGGGGGGCCTGTTGATGCTCCTCCTCATCAACGTAGTAGCGTAGGGCAAAAGTTAGGTGGCATCTCCAAGGAAGACCTTATTGTACAGTCACAACACATCTGACTTTGTGGGGTGGCGGACGAAGACAGCGGCACGCCGCGCAGTCAAGCCCTCGTATGGAGCCATCGGGCGAATTCATGTGTGCGCCTTGGATTGCCATGTTTGCTGTCTGCTTGGGGCAAGGTTGGAAAGGAAGGAAAAATACGACGAGAACACGAGTAGCGCCCAACGCTAGCCGCCCTGGGAACTTTGGCCTCGAGGAAAGGTGTCCACCATGATTCCGCCCGATTCTTCATAGCAGATAACGGCGTTGCGCCGTGAGACGCGGTCGACGGGATCCTCGGCCGCCCCAAAATTCCCTAGCCGCACGTCAGCCACTCCACACTCCTCAAACATTGCCCGCCTACCCTTTCCGGACGGGGATTGAGACTGGGAATTGGAGAAATTTCGCTGAAGAGGAGCCAAAAGCTAAGGGGGAACGTCTGGAGTGGGGGAACACCTTGGGTTCCCACAAGCAATCACAGAAGAAGAAAGCTTCAGAAATTCGTCCACGGAGACCAACAAGACGACAAGAGGAACAACGGCAGCCCCGAGGCAAAGGACCGTCTGCGGAGTGATCTGCACCAGCTGATCGGGGGTCGGGCCCGGAGCTGAGGCTCGCCGAGTTCCCCCCCCCAGCCATCGAGACGTTGGATGGAAGCCTTCTAGAAGGAATTGTACCTTTCGGATGGCGTGCTCATCGTTTGATAGTCGCAAGGAGTTACAACGAGCGTGCTCAGGAACCCGAGACGACCATCAAAGTACACGTATGGTGTATTGCTCGGGTTCAGGGGACCTGGTTCGCCGTTTCGACTGCGCGGGCATTCTTTTCCCCATCCTCCAAAGTTCCCGCTGCTTCTGCCGCTTTAGCAGTGGGAAAGGCGCACGAGCAGCTTTGCTGCAATGCCGAGCAACGCGGCCCCTATCGCGAGTTGTGACTGGGATACTCCTGCAACGGTGCTGGAACCACGCGTGATTCTGCACCCATTCTGCCCCCATTCGGCGGTGCCAGCGAGGCTGAGGACGAGTAGGAAGGGCCTGCGCCCATTTGCTCTCAAGGACCTTCGCTGCAGGTACACTTGTCAAGTGCCAGGCACGCAGCGAACAGCCCTCGTTCCGAACATGCCGTTTCCCAGCTTTCCAGAGTTCCCCGGGCCCAGCTTCATGCTAGCCGACCCATCGCGACAGCAGTCGTACATGTGGACTCGTAGTCCAAATGCCCACCAACTCTGAGCGGATGCGCGGACACGGCGCGACGCGGCATCGCCTTGTTGTTTATTGAGTCAGTCCATCGGTATAGCGCTACTGTTTTATAGCTGGCAACGGTTTGCTTGAGGCATTGGCAGCGTAGCCCCCAGTTGTTTATATTGTGACAGTGTCAAGCATATGCCAGAACCTGATCCAGTCACCCTTGGCCATAATCAAAGTTGCTAAAGTTCATTCTGGCCCTGCGTTTGCATCGTGTCATTGCGATCGCTTAGGAGCCACCAACCGCACTTTATGTGAGACGTGCATCCGTAGGCCGCCACTGGGCAGCATCTATTCCTGGAGGCTGGAGAAAAACAGCCACCGTGGATCGGCAAAGTGATGCCAGATACCTCACGGAGGTTTCGTCGCTGTTTGTCGGGACTCGGTCGTGCCGTGGTAAGGGTCACTGTCTGAACTTCCCGTCAACCCGGCTGCCCGGGTCGCAATAAGTGAGACGCAGGCTGGCGGTTCGCGAGCGGGTGCCATCTGTTCTCTCACAAAGGATTTCCCGGGGCGCATCCGCGGACGCTTTAACTGTGACTCCAGCGCCCGCCGAAAAGAAGATTTTGGGCTTCAAGCGATGAACCATGCAGCTCCTCCATGCGAAAGTGTTTGTCATATGGCCGAAAAGCCGGAACACCCCTTGATTCTTCCCTATGTACTCGGACTAGAATAGAAGGCAAACAACGAGACAACAATGCAGAGGAACCTCGGAACGACGCGCAGTGTGCGAGGATTTGCTTGCTCGGCGCAATAAAATCTGGGGAAGTCAGGCACAGCCCAAAGGATCGACCAAACTTTGAGCACAAGGCGCGTGTCTGTGCCAGTCGCCGTGTCAGTCACAAGCCGTTGCCAAACTGCGATGATCATGGAAGTGCTGCGACAGTTGAAACGACTCCATGGCCATCCTATTTTCCCATGGTGGATGGAGCCATTGAGAGGCATCCGTACGGACAGAAGATCAAAGACAGGCAGCTGTTTCCAGTGAGTAGTCGCAATGTGCTCAATCCCCACAATGTTGACGACTCCCTATTGAGGGTGAGAACTTGCGCCGTGCCACCCATGCCCAAACGCAAAATGATGTGCAGCGAGGTCCATGCGAAGTGATCAAATAGAGTTCGCCCATGGAAAAAAGGAAGCAAACTCGAAGGCCAGGGGCAAATTTCCGCCGAGGTGCAAGAAAAGGGGGAAAATTGGCACGATGCCACTGCTCATTGCTGTGTCAGTACGACGCCCGAGCAGTCCGAGACGAACTCCGGAGCAACACAGGGGGTTGGCGTTGCGAGCGTTCTGACAGGCTGGTGCCTCATCTCGAGTCCTAATCGGGCAAGTCGTCCAGTCAAGACAATTTGGCGCGTATGAAACGTCGTCCATCCTTCTCCGTCCAACGACCCATGCGACCATGCGCTCATCGTACTCCTCAAAGACGGGTTGAATCGAAGGAACAGAATACCGTCGAGGTGCATGTAATTTTCTAGTCAAAGAACGCCAGCCGCCGAGATTGGGGCTATCCGAGTGCTCAACATCAGCTGTAGTCGACCCGCGCGAATGGTGCTGCGTCGGGATCCACGGTGGTCCTATGAGATGCTTTGGCGTGCTGCCCTGCAGTGATGACTCGACCTCGCAGGTGAAGATCCCACGACGAACTTCCAAGATGCCCACTGTCGTCCCTGCAGGATCATGCAGCTGGGGCGGTCCCCCCCAGACGATCCTCTTTCTCAATTAACGCTACCCGCGTTCTCCGTTGAGCACAATGGACTAGTCTCCGATACCAGCCGTATCGTGCTGTCCCCCCACAAGCTCTCGTTATCAGAGGCACGACTTGCGTGACGTTTACGTCTCGCTGCATTTCGCCATGTTGGCCTGCAAGCGCAAAGATTACAGTCAATCGTGACCCCCCACAGACATCTCCTCATTGTGGTCGCATCGTGATATGGGCGACTGTTGTCATGGTATCCTAGAGAGAAGATGGAGAAAACCAAAGACAAAGAGAATGGCCCCACTGCGAATAATCCTGCGCAGACACCACCGTGTGGTTGGGAAGCGGAACTATCTGAAGGGATCATCCCTCTCCGGAGGCTCAAGCCGGAATGATCTGACAGGGACGGGTTCGTTTGATCTTTTTCGGTAGCTGGACAATGTCAAGAAGTGTTTGTTTGGCTCTCGCGCGCGAGTATCGCGTCTTGTTCTTGCTTTGGTGGCAGCAAATTGCAATGCCGATGAGGATATGGCGGCATCCCCTCGGTCTTGGTGTTGTTTGCTCGGCCAAAGGGGCTGCCAGTGACATGCCAGCGATCAGAGACATGCGACGAGCCTGCAGGCGGGTGTGTCTGACAAGGTGACGGCGTCGCATCATGAATCGAGGTGCGCACATTTCCCAAAGACACCAAGGAGACGGTACGGAGTGAAGCGCAGACAAGACGTGCATCGCAATGTCGGTCCCGTTCGATGTGCAACCAAGGCTGGCCAGAGAGCCGTCCGATGGCTTGATTGTGATGTGACTGCCCAACTATCGCTGCTCGTGGCAGGCCATGTCCCGCCCTTCGCTGTCCGGAGTAAGCAGACGGCGGGCCTTCCCGCAAGCGATGTGCGAGCTTGCATCCGTACAACGTCGGTCAGATTAAGGAGCATGGCCGATCTCATCAGCGAGGGCAAAAAAGCACCACCTTTGCTGAACAATGTGTTTGAAGCCGTAGCAATCGCAGTGGGCTCGTTGCTCGCCTGGTCGCCTAGACAAAAAAAGAGATAGTACCCCGTAGCCTCCTGGGGTGGCCAGAATTCTCGAGATGACTCCCCTCCCCGCCTGGCGACCAGGGCAAGCTGAAGATTGCGATTTGCGCGCGAGACCTAAGGTGCGTCGCTCAAGGATACGGTGGCATCCCGATAGGCCGACTGGTCTCTCTCCAGCCGGCAGCCCTTCTCGAGATGGGTGCTGTGATGCATGGTCAAGGTCGTCTCCCGCGTCCAATTCAGTGATTCTCAGTAGTGTGTGTGCGAGCAGCGGAGGTCAGGATGGGTGGGATCTGTAGCATGGATGCGTTGGCCAAACGAGTATGGAGGTTGCCTGACGCATATTGGTGCACTCCGTACTTTGTGGGACGTTATGCCGGCAGCCATCTGAATCACTGCGTCTGACACTGTTGAGGAGCGCAGGCGAAGCATGTCACGTCGACGACGTGAGCTGGCGAGGCAGTCGACGGCCAAGTCTTGAGTAGGATAACCCCGCGGTATCACTTTTTGGGGGCCACGCGTGGTTGAGCTGCATGTGGCGTCAGGATGGGCTGGAGGAACGTTGCAGGTTGGAAGAAGAAGCTATTTCCAGTGCGTCTCCGGGCAGAGACCCAGGTTCCGGCTGCTGTGACGAGATCCAAGAGTGGAAGCAGCCTGGGATGTACCGGCCAGTGATGTTGATGTCGCGTTGCTTTGGCGTCATGGGTGAAGTCATTGAACTGGCATGTTTCCTTCTAGTCCACACGCACATGGGGCATGGCATGTTCGAGTTCATGTTGTTGCTTTTTAGTGAGGCTCCGTCGGGAGAAAGCATCGGATCCATGCGATGGAGACGAAGTACCTGACCAAGTACCCAGCAAACTTGCAAGGAAGGAACCGGGACACTGGACCTTCCATTGTCTGTGGTGTCAGGCTGTCAAGGTGCGCAACTAGCACTGGGAACTTGGGAAAGAAGGCACCGGCCTCCGGGACACCGTGCTTGCTGTCCTTGGGCGTGCCTGATCGGAACAACCTGTTTCCCCATGAGGCAACGGCTGGGAACTGCGCCGGGAAAAGAACAGCCAGGAACCGGGACGACTACCAACAATGATGCGAGCAAACATTCCGAATTATCGGTCTGACAGGGCAGGGCCCCTGGAATCAATTTCAATGCTGAGGGTTTGGCTATGCGTCCAAGAGGCACAAGAGGTGCCTCCAGCCAACCGTTACGACAAACCCCAATGGCGAGTCACAAACAGGGGGAGAATTTTCGCGCCTTGAGCCTTGGGCAGCTGAACTATGGGGACCCTGGAACCAACCCATCCAGATAAGATGCGAGCTTTCTACACAGTAAGAAAGAAGATCAGTAAGCCGCATACGAGACTTAACCTTTGGCGATTATTAGGTATACTGTAAGGAAACGGTCGGATACGAAAAAACAACAAGGAAGCACTATCAAAGAGCCACAGCGAGCAATGAGACGAGAGGCCGGGCTTGGCAGCCAAGTCGAAACACTGCGATGGAGCCTTTGTAGAGCCCGACTCGACTCAGAATAAGGGTACCAGGCCTTCCGCGACTGGTGGCTCCGTAGATGGGACTCGAGGGAGAAGAACCAAAAGTATCCGTCCTCGGAGGGAGCCTCCTCAACCCACTCGCGAGATGAGCAAAAGTGTTGGTCATCATGCTCAATGCGCGCCGATCGTCCAAAGCAAGCCGGACAAGACGACCCTCAGCCGTCAGTGCGAGACATGCAAATCCACTACACATTGCGTTGGATAGCTGTTGTTGTTCTTTTTTGTTTGCTGTCACGGAACAGGCATCTGCCTTGCTGCTGGTCCTGTAAGGCAACCGAATCAAAGGGCGTTCGGGAACCACTCGAATCCGCCGTCCATCGTGCGATGCAGTCAACCAGTGTCTCTGTTTCTCTTGTCCACCGACAGGTCCTTCGTCTCTTGACTCAAATCTCAATCTTTCCGAAGCCTCTTTGATGGGGGGGGGGGGGGATTCGGCCCGCGCGCGTGAAACGTCCAGGATCAAAAAATTGATTCGCAAAATATATCAGATTGTCTAGGGTCAGCTGACAGGAGATTGAGATTGCACTCGACGAGAATGCAGCCTCGTGTCACTGTCGTCGCCGCCGAGTTCCTCGCTGGTTACGATCAGCAAAAAAGCTAGCTAGCTGAACAGAGTTCCCCCCTTGTTGGTTCCCTCGAGAGAGTGATATCCTGCGTGGGGAACACAACGAGGTCTGAGAGTCGACAGCAGAGAGAAAAGAGACACCGCTTTCTTTCTCGCCCGCCGCAACACGTGCCAAGAAACAGCAAGGCAGGACTGGAAAGCTTGGCTTTCGCAACGGCGCATGCCAAAAGTGCCTCTATATACCCTAACCGGCCAGGCTGCGATATGTACAGGGATGCCGATTATCCTGCGCAGGCAGAGCTATTGTGCTTGTGTCGGCTGTGGCCCGGTCTGGTGTTGTATCTGATTCCTCGTAGACAGGCACTATAAGATTAGGGTATGCGCGGGTGCGGTTGTCAGGCTGGGCGGCTGCGGCTGATGATACGAGACGGGCCGGGGGAGGGAACTCAACGGGCGAAATGATCAAAGAAGCGCTATACCTGTCTGTCCAGGGTAGGGTCCTGACTACTGAGTCGGGCAGGGCGCCGAACAAAACCAGACAATGGAAGACGTGGAAGCCCGCTCGTCCTCCGTACCGACGCTGATGACGGCGAGTGAGCCGTGCAGTCCCTCGCAACTCCTAGGTCAAGACTGTAAGTGGCGGCAGAAGCGAGATGGTGGGCAAGCGGGCTACGGGCTGCACCCGCGCGACCATGCCTCCAGACTACCTTGGCTCTTGCGAGAACCACAAGGCTTGGTACGGCAAGTCGGCATCGTGAGGAACGGAGACGTCGCCCCAATGTGGCCAGCAAAGACGACAGAATGGCCGCCTTGACCTCGGCCACGCGAGGGATCGTCCGTCGGAATGAGGTCAGCCCACGGCAAACTGGAGTAAACGCGGGTCGACAGCCCGAGACAATGACGGGCCTGGGAGTCTGTGAATAGGGCAGAAGAAGCAGGAACTCGGAGTTGCTCGTTGGTGCTCGACTCTTCCCAACAAGCCACCTCCCCGCCGGGTTTGCGGCCATTAACCGGAGTTGTTTTTTTGCCTCACAACTGGTCACTTTGCTTGCGGGTTTATGCTGCCGTCATTCTTGGCAACGGGCGGATGAAACTGTCTTGTCGCCAGCTCAGATTCACACAATCGTGCCATGGTAGATTGTGTAATGTCACGCGGTAGAATGAGTCCAGGGCCCTTTGAGTTCTTGGGAAAGTCAACACCGGTCCATGTCCACCGCGTGTGTAGCAAAAGCGTAAACGGTCTCTATGCGGACCAGCCCACAACTCCATTCATGGATGGAGATTACTGTACAGACTATAGCGCACTGTACTCCGTACAGACTGCGGGTACGAATACTAGACGAAGGCCGAGGGGGCCGGAGTTCCTTGGTAGCAACCGATGAGACTGTATCCGTATCCGCGGGCTTTGGCGCAACTCCATCTCTCCAGGCTCCAGCATTTCCACGGTTGCGGTTGGTAGATTCTGAGCGGCACAGCCTGGCAACTTCCGAGGACATGTGTGTATCTCCTCAAGGCTTGTCAGTAGCGCCGTGTCAAAAGCCCAGGGGAGAAGCACGTGTGTCGTCCATGGACCATCCCCCACATCAGACATGGCGCTGGCGGCTGGCGGTGAGACGGGGCCAAGTGTGAGATGCTCCGTAGCACAAGAAATATCTCCAAATCGGCCCAAAAATGGAAGAAAGAAAACAAAAAAGGCAAAAAGTTTAAGTAGAATGCCTGCTCCGCTTAGGGCAGCCCCAGTGGCATGGGCAAGCGCCGAGCCGCAAAGGGGATACTCGCAATGTGATACCCCAGACTGCCCAAGCTGCGACAGAGGAGATGAAGATGGCGCGCACCTCAGCTGTCAAGGCCTGTCTCTCCATGGACAATCCAAGGTGGCCTTATGCCATACGGGTGGGCGTGTGCTTCTGGTGAAAGGACAACATGGCGATAGCGACATTTCCCGTCTGACCATCCGGCTGTGAGGATTCAAAGACTGTTCGGCTCGAGAGCATGATTCCAGTCGACTTTGCAGCGGCTGTCGCCCCCAAAATGCCAGCAGTGTTGATCTGGAGCGGTCCAAAGGGCGAACGGGAAGTGAGTACCGCGCCATTTTCTCGGGCATCATCGTCCCGACTAACACGCCGGAGGGAGTTGTCAAACGACACCCTCGGGCTGGGCCTCTCCCGCTGGCGCGTGGGCAATCTCGTCGGACTCGCTTCTTCTCAAAGGGGGGAAGACTGAAGCTGCGAAGCAACATCGCATGGCATGGCATGGCATGGCATGGCATGGCGCGGATTGGATTAGACTTGGGGGCGAGTGATGACTTTTGTGGTCAAAGACCAGGGTGACAAATGGACGACCATCCGCAGGCCATGATACCTTCCCATTCCTCTCCCTCTGCCTGGGCCCGATGTGCAAGGTGCATTCTGAGCCCATGTGAGCAGCCCCCGACAGCGCCGAAGAAACGAGGACGCAAGACAAGTAAGCGCGTGTGGCAGAGTGTCGAGTGGTGACTATCCAACTAGACGGACGGAATGGGATATTTGGATTAGAGCAGGGGGGTTCATGGCCTCGATTCAGAGATACGATATGCCACCCCCCTCGTCCCCTACCCTGGCGATTGGGTCGAGGGAGAAGAATGGGTGTCCTCTCTGTACGAGCGTGTGCGCGTTTGGCCAAGCAGACGGAGGGATCGGGAGAATAGCACCTCAGGAGGACGGGAGATTTGCTGCCTTGTCGGCATCCGATTTGTCGTAGAAAGAGAGTAAAAGAGCGAGTAGTCGAAAAGTGTGACAGCGTCTGCTTGGGTGAGGCGACCGGGGAACGTGGTTGTGTTTGGGAAAGGCCCTCGTGACCCCATTTTGGAATTTTTTCTGACTGCGGTCGACTGCGTACTTTGACAGTAGAGACTAGGGTATGGGAGCAATGGCCCCCAGAAACAGAGCCCAAGGTCCTAAAGTGATTGTTGCGACACGAGCAAAGACGTTGGGTTGGGTTTCTCCTTCTCTTGCGTG